CTGTTTACTCGGCATTGTTGTGTTTCGTTATTACCGTCAACAATCCACTTTTGTTATTGCGGTAAGAACTGAGCTGTGAATCGCTTGTAGAAGACGTGCGTCGTAGAGTAGATAATTTTGACATTACATTCATTGTATTTATTACTTAAATATAATTTAAATACAGAGACGTATTTACGTCAGATTCTCCGGAACCGTGGTTCCAATGTCAATTTTTGTTCAATGACTATTATGATTTTAATGCTTGAAAATTTCTAATGATTCTGATCATATTATATTTTGGACAGGATTCACATGGATCAGTACAGGGAGTCGTAGTGGATGCAGGTAGCTCAGGATAGAGTCCGGTGGCGGGCTTTTGTGAACGCGGTGATGAAAATTAGTGTTTGAAGAATAAAGTGCAACTATTATGTGAGAAGCGAGTGTGCTAATGCGGTGCTTGGCGGAGCCACTGTTGGACGAGCTCGAGGTACAGCGTCACCATCTGCCGGTCGGTGGAAGAACGAGGAGATCACTGCAGCCTCGCCGAAAGGTAGGAAAGCGACAATATTATTTTGTACGACAGAACCAGGACGACAGGGCGTGATCATGTCTAATATTTGTGCTTTCTTCACAGAGAGAGATGGACTGAGACTGAGAAACAAAAATTCTACTAAAAATTGGTGAACTTTTAACGAGGTCTCTGACCATCTTCAGCGTGTCGATGAACGGATGAAAGAAAATTAATTATTGAGACAAGAAGTAAATATTATTCGTTTAGGAAAAGCAAAGAAAGAAATTTGAAGAGAAATGCTGTGAGCACATTAAACGACTTCCAAGTGATCGAATTTCTGATAAATTGTTCGAGTATTATCTGAAAGGAGAAATGATGAGAGGGCGAAGGTTTAAGAGGAGCCTGAAGTGATGAAAATTTTTCGAGGTGATGGTAGAATACCGGAATGGAATTCGATGGCGGTACTTAAGGCATATACGTTTCTGACGTAAAAGAGAGCTGAAGATTTGAGAATAGGTTTACAAAGTGTGTCCGAAACGATCTACAACATTTTCTTCAATTTATCTATTGAAACGCTAAACCTGTTTGAATAGCACACGTTGAATACAAAACATGTTCAAATGGTCGTCAACGTAAAGAAAGTTATACAAACCAAACATTGGTAATGAACATACCACAAACGAACGCGAGGTAATTGGAGGTTGCGTTAGAAATTTAGGTTGGCAACCACAGATTGGGGCGGGGAGGGGCCCCAATCCTTACATTCTAATATTAACGTACGTCGCACCGAAGGGGCCCATGCAGTTTAAGCGGTGCCACCTAGGTGCGTGGCCTGCGGGGACGCTCACCCATCCGGGTCGTGTGCCACCCCCAAGCAGCAGCTTAAGAGCGACAATATTATTTTGTACGACAGAACCAGGACGACAGGGCGTGATCATGTCTAATATTTGTGCTTTCTTCACAGAGAGAGATGGACTGAGACTGAGAAACAAAAATTCTACTAAAAATTGGTGAACTTTTAACGAGGTCTCTGACCATCTTCAGCGTGTCGATGAACGGATGAAAGAAAATTAATTATTGAGACAAGAAGTAAATATTATTCGTTTAGGAAAAGCAAAGAAAGAAATTTGAAGAGAAATGCTGTGAGCACATTAACGACTTCCAAGTGATCGAATTTCTGATAAATTGTTCGAGTATTATCTGAAAGGAGAAATGATGAGAGGGCGAAGGTTTAAGAGGAGCCTGAAGTGATGAAAAATTTTCGAGGTGATGGTAGAATACCGGAATAGAATTCGATAGCGGTACTTAAGGCATATACGTTTCTGACGTAAAAGAGAGGTGAAGATTTGAGAATAGGTTTACAAAGTGTGTCCGAAACGATCTACAACATTTTCTTCAATTTATCTATTGAAACGCTAAACCTGTTTGAATAGCACACGTTGAATACAAAAACATGTTCAAATGGTCGTCAGCGTAAAGAAAGTTATACAAACCAAACATTGGTAATGAACGTATCACAAACGAACGCGAGGTAATTGGAGGTCGCGTTAGAAATTTAGGTTGGCAACCACAGATTGGGGCGGGGAGGGGCCCCTTTCATTACATTACATTACATTACATAACGTATGTCGCACCGAAGGGGCCCATGCAGTGTAAGCGGTGCCAACGCTTCGGGCACACGCAGCGGAACTGCGGTTATGCACCCAGGTGCGTGGCCTGCGGGGACGCCCACCCATCCGGGTCGTGTGCCACCCCCAAGCAGCAGCT